CAAAAGTGACTACATAACTGACACTATATTGTGTGGGAAAAATAAAACCTGTGTGGCTATGTATACACACATGTACTGTTACTTCATTTTGTATTTTACGTTAATTTTTAACCCTAACCCCCTAGACCCTTTTGGCTAGGAACCATTCTCAATGCTACAAAATCCTCCAACTACAACCATGATCGAGGATTCAGCCTCCATCCTCCAAAATCATCTATTATTTCTTGAAGTTGTTCAGTGCAGGGGTGACCATTGCCTCAATCCTTCCAAATCCTCCATTTGCAACCACTGTTAATGGGTTGAGGCAGTGCCGGTGACACTCAGAAGCAGTGCGAATGATACCGAGCATAACGCAGGGCTCAATTATGCATGACTGAACACAAACAAATTGCAGGGTACAGCCTACGAACTTGTCACAATGCATCCTCCAAAATCAACTGACACTTTTTTTGCCATTCAGCCTCAATCCTCCTCACTCCTCCAAAATCTCCAAAACTGCCAGGAGGATTTTTGAGGATTGACAAGGGTTAGGGTAAGATCGAGGCATTTCCAGGGGCTATCCAATGTACATGTACACTCAAACATCGTACAATGTACAGAATGTCAGTGCAATATGCATGAGATAATCAAACATGTTGGTAAGCTGATAATGTCAACTTCATCCAAGGTCGAGGATTATGTGTGATGTTAATTGCATTACCTGGGGATGCTTGTAATTGACTCTTGTTGAAAACACCAGCATAGAGTCATGACAGTCTGAGTCCATGCCACCCAGGTGACTTCCTACTACCTGCAGACACAATACCTGTGATGTACTGCTTAGCTCCCCCCCCCCCCTCCCTCCATCCATCCCCTCCCACATCCCACCCCTACCCTATCAACTTCCCTGGAAATGCAATCGATGAGCACTCTGCCGTGAAATTAACAAACTAGATGAGGCTGTGATATGAGGACACGTATATCTGCCGATCAACATGACTAGCACAGACCATGGAGCTAGGCCAAGACCGTATGCGAATGTCTCTCGAATCCATGCATGGAACCTAATGAATGTAGTTGCCCTTGCAAGATATTTTAGGAAAACAAATCTAGGCCACCAAGGTAGCGTTACAAATTTTAGAGAGGACACACTTCTCGCATCCACATACATTTTCTCTATAAGTGGGAGGGGGAATAAAATGCATGAAAGTCGCATTACAAATTTTAGAGAGAGCATGTTATGTACACTGTACATTAGAAAGTGGATTGCTTGCTATCCACACCTCAAAATGGACTGATAATATATATTTTTTTATCAAATAAGCAAGTTTAAACTAACTGTTATTTTGTATTATGACGTGTTCAATTGCGTTGCATGCATGAACGCTTCATGTACAATGTACATGTACCTTCACAATTCTGGCCTGAATGATTGTCCTTCCAGTTTTTCGTCTTGAAAACTCAATTCCGTTAATCATCAAGGCTCATCAGTAACCATATGTTCAAATGTACACACATGTATACAAGTACAAATACAGCACACGTTCCCAAGTCAAACACCGACTGGCCAAAATGCCGCCAGCCCCCCCAAATATATATGAACACCTGGAGTGCAGGTAATGGATCCTGAAACTTTCACTCCGAGAGATCTGTCAACAGCTCAGACTCTCCGAGAGGAAATTCCCACTCGCAGGGCTGTCTAAAATTGGCGGGAAAATCTCTGATTATGAGCATGATGGACCCATCATGATGCCAAGCCTACGGGGGAAAGTCTTTCCCTCTTTGGAGCTTGGAGGATGTTTTGAGGTTAGCGGAAGAGACACTTTCTCTTGTCGTTGATGAAACGTGACCCGAATTTCAAGTGTTTAAGTAAAGTCTGTGAAGTCGTGCTGGGTTGAAATCAACACTCCTTACTCTAGATACATGTATGTATGCAAGCAAAAGGTATTGCACACATGTGCAGTGTTTTCTGTTCCAAAAAGGTTCCACTCCGCAGAACTCGTCTGAACCTTTCCCGACAAATTTATGTGAATGTACTTTTGCATTAGCACCATAGCGCTGTGGTCAAAGGGTTGTCGGTTTTCGATTCATGTGCCGTGGTACGTGCCTGCGAACCCTGGTGGGGAACAAAGTGCTTGTGTTCTTGGGCAAGACACTTAACTACAATTGCCTCTCTCCACCCAGGAGTATAAATGGGTACCTGTAAAGGTAGAGACCAAATTGCGCTGATCTCGAGCTGCTGCAAAAAAATGGTCTCAAAGCCTGATGAACAGGGGTAATAATAGTGAAGCGCTTTGAAACCTTAGGTACAGTATAACGCGCTATGTATAAAAAGCACCACATTATCATTATTATATAAAACTGTGGAATTGTATGCGTGTGTTCAAGCATGTTTGTTTATCAAAGTACCGGTAATGTACGTAATTAAAGTGAACAAAGTTTCTGTCATTGTATTAAACTAGATGTTCACACAATTCCAAATAATAAATGCAAAAGGTGAAGCTTTGCCATTACCAGCAATAAATTTTGCAAAAGGAATCGTGAAGAGAATTTAAAAAAAACGTAGGGGGATGGGGAGACAAAAACTATCTAAGGAGATTTACTCTTGCATTGATGATGCAGTAAGAACTACCGGTAATGCACGGAAAACTATCACTATCAGGCTTTTTTGTGTATGCATCACTGGATAAACTCTCAAATCTCAACTTCAGTTACAGCCACACTGTTTAATAAATCACTGTGGTATGTCTACAACATCAACATCCTCGGAGGAGAGGGAACATGTAAATTTATATTTTATTTATTTTCTGTTTGACACATGGATGAATTATTGAGAGCATAACAGTCGAGTGCAATTACTTAAACATGTAATGTGAGCAAACTATGTTCATAAAATGTGTCTCCTGTATCAAATTAAAGGGAATATACAACATCTGTAAACATCAAAATACAAAACTATTATGAAATACCTCACTGGACTGTTAGTGAATGACAGTCTAAAGCATCCTGTAAAATCATGGCACCTGGTGTGCTGTCATTTAAAAAAAAAAAGGTATATTTGTGTCAATTTCCAACGCTGGTCGGCCGAACAGTGTTGGACAAAAACTGGTTTTTTTTTCATATACTGCCCAAATTTACCATATTAAGTTAGTTCGCATTTTGTTTGCAATCGATTACACACACACCTACACACCTTTTTAGTTTTGCAAATTCTTCCACCGGTAAATGGCAAAGGTTCAACTCTTTGCATTTATCATTTGGAATTTCTCTTGACCTACTTCCCAGATGTCTCTTTCGACTTCAAATTTCTCTATCTCCAGGAAACAACTCATATTTCCTTCACGTTTTTTATAAATCACAAACCCCAAGCCACAATATCAGCATCGATTGCCGAGCTTGCATATAAAGCCTCCATTGATGTGAGTCTCACCTGCTCCGAGCAAAAAACTGTACCCTCACGGTTATTTTTAAATTTTTTTTTCATATTTCCAAGTTTTCCCTGAGCAAGAAAAAAAAATTAATCTTTGAAATTCCCTCAGCTTCTTTTGAAGCATTTTGTCAGACAGGTGTTTCGGGGATACCTTTGCGAACCACTTGAGGAAAACTATATTGCTTTGAAAGCAGCTGGAAGATACGAAACGAGAGACAAAAAAAACTGACTTGAACTAGAAAGCCGAGATTTCCCTGTCAAACTCGGCATTTAACTGTCGAGTGGGATATTTGCGTTTCCCGATTTAGCCACCACGATTCCTCTCTTTGTACTGTCATCCTAGAGGGAAATATCAACCAAGAAAGGGGAGGCGAGGGCTTTGAAGAAGCTCCGAAGTGAACCCGTAGCTAACCTTTGATAAAAAAAAATGACCCAGAAAGACACTGAGGGGGAGAGGGAGTAGGGGGAATGGCCCTCTTTTGATGCAGATGACGGCAGAGTAATAACCGCTGATAGATCTAGGTTTCTAGAACAGAAGGGCCGAGATTGGCGTTTTCTTGATGCAAACGCCGACCGGCTGGTGTCGGGTTTCTCCCTAAAGTACACACTTTTGTCGAAGCAAACTGGCTGATGTCAATCTCGGGGGTTTATTCACGCTGTTCATCGATCCGCTGCTATGAGCTTTGCTCATCGTCGTGCTGATCTGAGGGTCTTATATCTTATGCACTTACCGTTTAGGGGAGAGGGGTTTATGTAATAAGAAAAAATGACTGGTCAATGAAAAATGCCAATGGAAGGAGTTTGTGGCAACGTGAAGTGGGCTCTTGTCTGTACACCTGCAGGAAGCTTTTACTTTAATAGTATCCAGCAGTTATTTTCCAGTTCCAGTAATATGCCATGTGACTTATTCTCAACCAATCGGATTTTGCAATTGAATAATCTGGAGTAACAATCAGAAACGGTGCACAATGTATTCGTAGTAAAGTAGGGTTCTGTGACAATTTTATTGAAAACAAATTATACACTGTACAGCAAGACTTGCTTGCGTGAATTAGTTCTATTTCTAGAACACACAGAGCAATTTGGTTGCAAATTGTCCTCACTTAGGGCCCATGTCAATTCATATCCAAGACGAATTCTGGACAAGTTGCGGGTAGAATCATTCACTTTGTCCGGAAGAAGCTCTGCACTTGTCCCGGACATGTTCCGGGGAAAATTGTCATTAACTGCTTGACTCGCCAATAGTGATAACTTCATTGTGGGAAGATTGCAGGGAAGTAGCTCAGAATCCTGCAACTTATACCCGATACAATGTCCGCAACTTGTCCGGAACCCGTCCTGGATATTAATTGAGACAGTCCCAAACACTTGCAGCAAACAAACCCAGCAAGCCAATTGGTGGCCGTGTGGTCTACACTAGTAGGTCAATGGTTCTCATTCAATCTGAGCAAGCTCAGTGTAAACAAAATTCTCACAAGCTCATGCTTGAAGTTGGTAAAATGCAAACCCCTGAATCAAAATTTTCCTTGCTCGGCTCTTTGTAAAACGCATGGTACACTAAACTGCTGATGCGCAGATATACCATACTTACCCTTTCTCTCGGTTGACTTTTGAGTAATATGCCCTGGAACGAATGGCTGAGTAGAAGGAGAATGCCTCGTTCAAATAGTTGGTTTCACTTGTCCTTAAGCTGTAAACAAAATGAAAAAATAATTGAAGTTATCAGTTGGAAAAATTCAACAGCTTCATTGGCACACACCTGAATCAGTTCTGGAATTCTAACTCTGGAAATACTGGAAACCTTGAAAGAACAATTTCAAGTTCGGATTTTTTTGTAATTCACCAAATTCACTTTTGGTGAATGAAACAAAACGAGCCAAAATAAAGGGGGAAAAAACAGCCCACCCCCTTTTTCGAAATGAATAACCAAAAATATACAGCAGAAACTTGCGACTGATACCGTAATGTCCTTAACAGATATTACTAGGGCGTGATACATTTATGGACGGAGAACGCATTCATGTGTATATATCTGCTTTTATTAAGACAAGTCAAGACAAGACTTTCCAAATTGAAAAAAAATATGTGATATAACTAATCCCACTCTCAATTTTCATTTTCTTGACTCCCCTAATATTCAACCATGCACAGTGTGTGTGCACCACACAATGTCAATGACACACGAGCGTGCTCAGAGTAATTTCCTCTAAAGGTTGGAAGGCACGGACTGGTCCTGCTTAGATCATTATCAGTGCTTGGGCTTTCAGAAATGAAGCAACATATATAAAGATTGATGAAAAAAAAAACAGCAAAGAGAAATATTAGCATGTGTTTTTCTCTTAAAGGCATGGAACATGCTTGTTCATTAACTTCATAGAGGCAGTGTGGCATTCAACATAATACTTGGTTGGGGGGTAGCGCGGCACCGTACTTGTACAATACTGATACAGGTCTTTAACCCTAACCCCTTGAGCATTTTTACTAGAAAATATCCTGAATCCGCCAAAATCCACCAATTTTGTCATGCAAAAAAAATGTTGGTGTCCTAAGTCCATTAGAATCGACCAGTGAGTCCATCAGAATCCACCAGTGTAGTACACACACCTCGTACACACCAAATATATAGCCAAGGATTTAAACAGTTGAGATCCTGAATCCATCAAAGTCCCTCAACATGCTTAATTTCAGGGATCTTGTCAGAAAATCCACCCTCAATGCTATGACTCTATAGAATAACAGCACAGAGTTGACAGAAGACCCCTTCTAAATGTAACGTGAGTTACCATGGAATTGCCCATACACATGACATGTAAACAAATATAATGTACATATGCATTAGGCCTATAGCTACCACGTACATTGACCATTTCAGTACATGTATTATGATACATGTAAGTACGATTTTCGGAAAAATTCAACCACGATTTTTGTTTTACTGAACTGCAGGAGACATTACCAATAGGTATAATGTACATGTATACATGTACATGTACTCAGAGGCTAAACGTTCGACGTATCAATGCCAATTTTTGTTTTCAGGGGAGGGGGTTGGGATTCTTGAAAGGTTAAGTACATGTGCAACGTGTATCTTTCTTCCATCAGCTGACAAAATCGATGATGATTAAAGCATCATCGGTTCCACACAAGCGCTTAACTCACATTATTTTAAAAGCACATGCATGGCATTGTTAGACCATTAATGTAGAACCTGTTCACATGTGTTATAGCTAAAAAAACAATTCATAAATGTACATGGCCGCAGCCAGCATAAATTAAAAATTACCATCAAAATAAAAAATGCCTATATGGATGTTGTATTACATGTACAGTGTATGAACATATGCATAAAACTGCTGCAAACTGCATGCTGACTGGATTGACCTGAAATCAAATTTACAAATTAAACCAAAATGGATGGCCTAACATTTCGATAGTAGTCTTTTGCCTTTGACAAAGATTCTGCTAGAATCAAAATGTTAGGCCGTCTAATTTTTTTTGATTTATTTTTATTTAGTAATGAATATTTCTTTCATTACAGAAATCCCTATCCACAATATCAATATGTATGTAGTTGCATGTACGTTGGCACTTCTGAATGTGAATTAACCAGTATTTGGTCAGGATTACCAAAACGAAAGTACAACACGCAACGATGCGACCGATATTTACCACACGAATGTCCCTTCAACGCAAATTAAAGTCACTTGTGCATCCATGCCGCTGTGTGTGCTGCGGCTCGAAAAACCAATACGGACAGCTTAAATGGGTATGCACAGAGGATGCCATCACAAGCATTTTGCATAATTGGTGTTCAATTTGATTCAGATGACTCTAATGAGTGCTATCGTTTAATACTAATGACATTAGCCGGTTCATATGGTGCGTTAAATGCAAGCTGGCAATGCAAGTCAATAAATGATTAAATCCGTGCGTCTAACAGAAAGAGAGCAAACCCATGCTTGGATGGAATATATTGGCAAATACATGTATGTCCATACATGTACATAAGCACATGTACACTAGTTATTTAGAATTTAATTACAAAGTCAATGTACAATGTACGTACACTATGTTTGTATGTGTATAGAAAATGTTTCATGTGCAGACTAAAATTTCTGTGGCTATACAATGTACATGTACATGTATGTAGTGATAATCTGCAATAATCAATCATGTACATATGTGCATGTTGATTAATTAACGCACAAAAACAAATGCAGACCATGAAATAATTAACAATTTACAATGTACCGGTATGTCATTTATAAATAATTGTTTGATCACAGTCACAGACAGTCAAAATTTTCTTCCACTTCCTCTGTTATACATTTGTATGACAGACTAGTAAACAACAGTCAGATCATATTCGTGTAAATACTGTGACTAGTCAAAATCTATCAACAGACAAAAGAGGTGACTGGTAAGTACAGCTGGCATAGCAATCACCTCCAGTCAAAGGATGGTTATATCAAATTAAAGGGAATGTACATCCTTGGCTTTTGCTGTAATTTTCAGAAATGACTATTTGAGGGGTTAGTATAATAGATCAAATACTGTTACACTGACAAGTTTGAAATTGTGTGTTCGAAAATGCTGGAAAAACCAAGAAAAACAAATATGTTCAAGTAGTCTGGTTCCCTGACTCCACTAAAGATGAAATGAATCCATTTATTGATGCCCGAAAATTGTAAGGTAAGGAAACCAGTCTAGCTGGCCTGCACCCGTTCATGAACATGTAACCAATAGCAAACAAAATTTGGACTGAAAAAAAAAGGTAAATTTGGAGCAGTAGTTGAAAAATAGTTAGGTTTTTCCAACGGTGGTCGGCCAACCACCGTAGGAAATTTATACAAAATACCACTTTTCTTGAAAATGGCTTCACACCAGGTGCCATAATTTTACAGGATGCTTTAGACTTTCATTTACCAACATTCTATTAAGGTATTTCGTAAAAATTTGGTAGTTTTGTTTTCCAATGTTTGCAAATGTTGTATATTCCCTTTAACAAGGGAATTCTTAACCATTAAAAACAGTCACTTGATTGATTTTGACTGCTGTAATGGTGCACCCGAAGTTTCCAGTGAGAGGAGGGTTTTAATAGCTGATTCTGACAGTTGACTATCAATCAATTACTGATTCTGACGACAACTGACCAAGATATGATAGACTGATAAAGATCAAAGACTTTCAATCAATTCAATGATTGATCAAACAAACAAAACAAACAAACCATCTTTATCAGAACTAAACCATTACTTTAAACTACAGTTCAATTCCCGCAAACATTTTCCGAGTGCCCAGCCTCCATTATAAGCCAGCTGATGTCACGATATCCACGTACACGGTAACTGTACGTGCTTGACTCCCTCAAATGACACAATTTGCCTGGTAAAACCCTCGGTAACCTCAGACCAGCAGGCGACAGGCTTTATGCATTTATGCAACAGATGACACTTTCTCCCCAGTGACTTGACAACTGTAAGTGTAACGACAGGTCTCCCGTCACACTCCGCCAATTTCTTTTTTTCAATTCATTTTCTTATTTTTCAGCCTGCACTATTTTGTCACTACCGAGCTTCAAGACACATGCTGATGAGTACAACTTTTAGCGGCATTTGTCCCCTTGTCAATTTTCAAGACTCGATCGGTGAGCTGATGTGTGTAATGATTGGAAACGGTTGGTTCCTTAACCCTAGAGTTTATTCCTGTTGCTGAGATACATGTAGCCTGGGTAACAATTGTAAGCCTGTCATGCCTCTGTGGATGAGTTTGTCTTACAGTCACTATGTGGACTTGTGAACAAAAGATGTCCACATAATGCAGGTTGTGTTGACGTTATGTGGACTAAGCCGTGTCCACATAACGTTTTGCCCTCTCTGGAAAACAGGTTTAGAGGCATTTTTGGGTTAGGTTTATCCGTGGCAAAATGAAGAGAAACATGAAAGGGAATCATTGAAAAAATTGGGGTTGAAAGAGTTTTCACAGTTAAAGTAAAGTTATTTTTTGTACCGAGTTTTCTTAACCACCCAAAAACAAAGGAATGTCCACATATACAAATGTATAGCTATGTAAAACAAACATGTCTGTAAATTTCAAAAGTATAATGTACATATGTCTATGTGTGCCTATTTGTGTGTATGATACTGAAAGTTATTAAAGAGTTTATGAAGGACAGCATACTTAAAATTGATATCAAATGCATCTGTGGCTCTCCATGGTGTAGAATACAAGGGAGCGAATCCAGAGAGTTACTCCTGGGAGCAGAGCTCTCTCAAGTGAAAAAAATGGCCTTAACTTGAAAGAAAAAAAAAGGTTATGGGGGGGGGGGGGGGGGGGAGGGCCTCCGCACCCCTGGATCCACCCCCTGGATCCCCCTGGATCCCCCTGGATCCGCCCAGGGCTGTGTACATACGGGGCAATATTCACTGTGTCAATAAATATCAGATTTTTGTGTCATCAAGCACATCTGAATCCTCATCGTTTGTTTTGTTTGATCAAATCCACACATACTGTCACCCACACTTGTTCCTTAGGGACCACACACCTGTTGAGCGATAGTTATTGTGAGGACCGAAGATACTACCGGTACATTGTATGTGGACACCAGAAAGTCCCCACATAACTCGGTCTTAATTTCCCTAACAATAGAAAACTTCCTCATAACGCGGTGCCGGCCAGAACAAACACCCT